CTGTGGACTGTACATGAATTTGTCGGAGATGTTTCCTTGTACAGGGTGGGGCAGCATAATCGGGAATGCTTTTTGGGCTCTGATCATGAGTAGGCATGGCATTATTTTTATAAATTATATTATGGCAATGAAACGCCCAAAAGTTGTGCATCATCTGACATGACTACATCCATGAGCATGCAACTTCCTGGAAAAGAGCAGCAAAATAGTTCGACGGTGCTCCAAGTGCTTTGCGCGCGCCCATAGACACTAATGTTAAACAAGTAAAACAAGAACATTTTGTTTAAAACCCTGCAATTCCACGTAAAGGTTGCTGGGCAGGTCAACGTGTTATCACGGACGATAAGGATTGTGTGGGGATACTTAGGACAACAGGTTAACGTAATCGTCGTAAAATAACTCTTAGCAGAGGACATACAAGATGACTCACTTGAATATAAGGAAGAAGCACTTGAGCATATTAAAAAGAAACAATGTTCAAAACTTCAGCGACAAAAAATCTTATCACCGACTGGAATACGATAAAAAAGAATGGCATGCCATATAGGGGATTGTATCGAGAATATTCCAGCGGTCATGCAAAGTAAACATCCTGTTGGGGTGATGGACCTATGGGTGGTCTTCAAGGGAGGTGCACGTGGTGCACCCTACTTCATCGAGCCCGGATAAAATGAGCACCTCTGGTAAATACAACCGCACTCTGGCAGACTCACGTGGAGCCGTCGGAAGAGAGGATCACTGACGGTCCAAATCACGTCTTACGAGGACTCTGTCCGTGCTGGTACTGCAGTGAGGACGACATGTTATTGTGTAGGGCACCTCCACCTGAGATGAACCAAAAACTTCTGGTCCTTCAACTCCGCCGATTTAAATCCGACCAAATTCTTTACATGGAGCGTTTTTTGGTAGAAGTTTAATGAACAACTTATCATCAGTAAAAACAGTCTTCAGTGCAAGGTACGAAGCTGATGGGCGATCATGGACAAGCAGGAGGTTGCACGTGCATGCGCGTGCTTTTGGACCCGCCTTGAGAAGGTCATCGACGCCGAGGGCGGTCAAATAGGATGAGGGATAGGTAAAAGGTGACCGATTGATAGGATGTTGCTAAAATAGTGCTTGGAGCTATATTTTTAGATTCATGACCAAATAATCCCGTTTGATATTTATTCCCGATTATGCTGCCCCACCCTGTAGGTATTGCAATGAGCATGTTGCTTTATTTTGTTTCACTTAAATCTCATCTCAATCTCTTAGTGGAACATGTGACCTCCACTCACTGTTATTTTATTTCGCATTGAAGCTTAAAACTGCGTTTGTTCACTCTTATTCACACTCACTTTTTCAGTTGACATTGTGTGTGACTACGCCATTGTTTTTCCCATTGTAAGTCAAGTGCCAGAGAGGTTCCTGCCGTACAAAGGAATTGAGAGAATGCCGTTTCCGTTCAAAGGAAGGATAGACGACAATGGACCACTCGCATTGTGGTTGAGGATGTAACTACAATCTACTCTACTTAATTTAAAATTATCTGACTGATCAAAGCTGAACGTGTATAAACAATGCCTATCTTCCGATGAGACATAGCGAGCCGACTGTTTCTGAATTGGTCAGAACAGGTAACCAAAATAGCGAACGGACTGCGGGAGCGAAACGCAACTAAGAAACGGTAACAAAAGTAAGGATTAGGAAATGAACTGTTGCGAGGTCCAGGACAAGGGCTTCACCACCGGGGGACCCCCCCCCCACAATAATTTCCGGACCCCCAATAATTTCCGGACCCTCCAATAATCTCACTACCGTAATATAGCTTAATGTGAAAGGGTGTGCATTTTTGGATTGGATCCCCCAATCCTGAGAACGTTGCGGAGCCCCCGTCTAGGACAGACAATCTGGTGAGGACTCTATCGATCAGTTGCGCCCCGGGACATATGATCTGCTGGGACCTTCCATCGGTCAGCCTCCATTCGCCGCTCGTCAGAGATGGTTTGTACCCGCCCCGCGGCCGTCACCCTCGCTAGGCGCGCCACCAGACGTGTCATTGTGGCCGCTGCAGAAACCTCGGGTGACGGCGTCTGCCGGCCGCGGACCGCCCCCTGATTACCGGCGGCGCCGCGCGCTGACATCAGCGGCTGGCGCCGGCGGCAGAGCGCCATCCCGCTGCGCCGGCAGCGGCGCGCCGACTCCACTTGGTTGTGCTACTCAGCCGTCATCCCGGCTAATGGTGTTATCTCGCCTCAATTGGTCCGGCGCCGCCGATATCGCGGGTCCATGAGAACGGATGGCGACACGAGAGGAATGCGTCTGGCCTGTGGTGAGGGCCGAGGGGAGACGGTAACTTCGGGTCGGGTCGGTGGTGATGAGCCGGCGCGACAGACATGATCTGTCGTGTCAGCAGGCGACTCTGCCGCGCCCCGCTAATCCGTGATAAATCAGCATTACATCTAATGGACCACGAAACTGCGGGCTCGCTGCAATGCTGGTTTTAGTTGCCGTTTGGAAAAGTGTTATGCAGCTAGGCATGCCTACTTCTGGGGTTATCGAGAAACTCCTTGCACATTAGCATGATCATTATTCGGTGATCAATTGCCGGGAACACGCCGTCATCAGTCTGTCCGCCGAGCTTTGCATACTCTAGTCTGTGTGCACATATTTATACGACCCGGCGCAGGTACAGTCGTCTGACGCCTCACCCACAGTCGACCCATCACACACCACCTGACCCGACCGACACCATTTGACCCGCTCCGCCATCTCGACGGTACCACTCAGCTGATGACTCGTCCGCTCGCCTCCCAGCTGAGTCCTGCGCTCCGAAGGGCGGCCCGCCTGCCCCCGAGCCTTCTCCGTGAAAACCGCCGCCTTGTGGCCCCCAGCTGCGCCAGGCTAATGCTGAGGAGTGGACCAGCCTCCCCCGGGACAGAGAGCACTTCCCAGGGCTCATGTGGTACAGCACGCCAGAGTCGTGACGGACTTTGTGACAGTTGGGATATCCGTGGCCCAGTCATCCAAACGTCGCTCCGGCGTGGCCCGCCAACGAGGCTTTTCAAATGACCTTATCTGACACAGAACCCTCTGAACTTATCTGACACAGAACCCTCTGAATGCCCGAGTGTTCTGTACTTCCGCGGCCGCCTCGCGTTCACAGCCGCTGGCTGCTGGGCCGAGAGGCCCCCAATACCCACAGTACACAGGTCCATTACCACCGGTAATGTGTTTAGCGGCGGCTGCCTGTGGGGACTGTTACTGGAGGGCTGTGTTTAGCGGCGGCTGCCTGTGGGGACTGTTACTGGAGGGCTGTGTTTAGCGGCGGCTGCCTGTGGGGACTGTTACTGGAGCTGGTCCGTGTCCGCAGCTCTGTCACACACGGCCAAACGCGGTCAGCGTCGGCTTAGACGCTGTGAATGAACGACCATGGGCGGTTATATCGATTCCCGCATCGAAATTAAAGGGACCCTCCCACCTTAACATTAGATTTGAGTTGAGATAGCCAAAATGGGGTCCCTGGCTCACAATTACCGGTTTCGGCACTTACAACATCGAGAAATGCCTTAAATCGGAAATATTGAATTTCAAAATTGCAGCATTTTGATTCAGAGGGCCTAATGCATAGGAATACCCCTTTGAATGTGTGACGTCAGCGCAGATATCTAACGATTTTCAAATGTTTGACTAAAACGTTTTGTAGCACGCGGTGGTATATGCTGCTTAGCGCGCAACAAATGCCGCACTTTCAAATAAAGTCGCTAGGAACAGCGGAGATCCCAAAAAGTAAACAAAAGTAAAAGTCTAATATCTTGAAAACCGGTGAATATTTTTCGATGAAATTTGGTAGATATTCGTTTTTGCTCTTTCTGAACCGAGCGACATCCTTTTCATGCCAATTCATTAACTTTTTTGAAGGTGGGAGGGTCCCTTTAACGAGTCCGAAAACTGTGTAAAATATAAGAGCACAGGTTTAGGCAATGCTCTCTTTTGCAGCCTCTACCGGCTGAGCTTAGAGAATGGTTGGTATGGAAGACGTTTCCGTAAATTTTAGTCACACAATGCTACCTGTAACCTCTTCGAACATTGTGTGACAGTCATCAGTAATGTTTCGGATGTAGCGAAATTTATTAGTGGGACCATCGTTAGTCATTAGTCAAATACAATGTCAAACTATGTTACAGCTCTTCGTATATGGTCCTTAATCATTTCCACTTTACTACTGAAGTCGAATTACACTGATTGCTTTCTGTATCCCATGCCCGCAGGCCGCAACATTCCTAAACATGACAGGTACCTCGACGAGTACGTTTTACATTTCGTCGCACATCCACATTGCAAATCATATACTCCCTTCGCTGTGCCTTGGGGTAATCAGTTAAGTGAAAGGTCGTCACAATCCAGGCAATAAGCTCGGATGAAACGTGCACTGCGCAGCAGAAATATTCACATGAGCCGGAGCGACGTCAGTTTCTAGTTCAAGACGTACGGTCCACCCTTGCTCGCAATTTCCCTTCTTATTGCTAGAACAAAGAAAAGGAATATGCCTATCGTCCTCATTTAACCGTCCGTCGCTGATTTGCAAATATTTATTCAACCCGCATTTTCTAAAGAGCTTTGAAACTACTTGAAGCTCACATTTTTTGTACGTTTTTTCCTCATTCTTATTTCATGTGTTTTCTGCAGGCAGATTTGTAGCTGGTTTCAATGAGAGATGGAAGGAAGTTGAATTTGATTTTGGGCTCCTGAGTCCTGTTACTGTTGCCTGAGGTTTAAAAAGTTAAAACCCGCGTCGTCCGTTTCAGAAGGATATATAGTATTTGTTCGTTGAATATTATTTTAGCAACAATTCAACTTCCTTCCATTCGGCCATTGCTTCGTTCTGTTCAGTATAGAAAGTCACGAGTAGATACCTGAAATCACATTCGCTGCGGCCAAGTAGATGTATATGCAAATAGACTCCCCGTTAAGCACCAATGCTGAACAATTTCCGTCTGTGAACTGACTCCCGGACCCACCTAGTCGCTGGTGCGTTCGGCATCCATCGGTGTGAGGGCGCCGGGCGGCCGGCGGGAGGGGCGCCGCGGCCGAGCGCCCCCCGGCGCGCTACCGGCGCATCCGGCTCCTCCGCGGCAGCGCGCCCGGGCGCCGGGACCTCTGCGATGGTCGCGCCCGGCCTCCACCGCGCATCCACCACACGGACCGACGAGGCACGCGCACCGCCGCGCCGGGCGGCACCGGGAGGCCGCGCCGGTCACCGCGGTACCGCACTGAGACCACCTCGGGAGGGTGACCGAGCACTGGATCCGGCGCGACGCAGGAGTTTTGCTGGACGTTGAATTCAAATCGTCCGCTCGGAAGGCTGCACGGCGATCAATGATAGATGCAGGAACACTGCGCGCCGGAGTCGCCGCAGAGGCACCACGGAATACCACAAAACCACGAATACCCAAAGATGCCGTGGTCCGGCTCTGCGTCACAGCTCACTGGGGTGTCCCAATGCCTTCCGCAGCCGAGTGGCGAGCCTGCGTGCGCCGTCGGACCGGCCCCGGGTGTCGCCGACGGACGCTGCAGCGGCCGACTGGGGCAGGCGGCAGCAGCCGCCGGCCGGGCCACGCTGCTGCGAGTATCGACCGGCGGCGGCCTGCAGCCGCCCCGCCGCCGCCGCCGCCCCCGCCCCCGCCGCCACCGACGGCCGGCCGACCTGGATGATCTTGTGACGGCTCTAATCATGCAGCTCGGACGCGGCCGGCGCGGCGAGAGCGGTCCGAGGAGGGGGTGGGAGAGGGGAGGGGTCGACAAGGAGGGAACGTGACCCAAGGGTGGTCGGACCGGCGTAAAGGTCAGGCGGGTGGTGGCCGCCACGGGGTCGAGCAGAATTTAGATCCGGAACAGGAAGGGATATTGGGAGGGCAGAGCAAGGATCTTGCAACATTTTCGCTGCACAATAAACCCCTTAGTTCAATCGCACCTTTTTCCGAAATAACACCTAACGGCAAAACAATTTCAGTTAACATGGAGTCGAACAGGCTGGCATGAAAATCACTCCGCAGTTGAATCGATGATCGTCTGCGGTGAGATGGCGATGCCAAAAATGAAGTGGAAACGATTGAGATGAGATTTCATTGGCCGATGCGGCCCATTATTGATCAATACTGCCCGGGAAAGTTGACGGTGACTGTAAGCAAGCTTGATGCGAGGGGTGGTGCATACTTTTTTTGTAACGTTTTCCGGAAACAATTTCGAAGTAGGCATGTATGTATATTATACAGTAGATACCAGCTCATTTCAAACGGACTTGCGGTCGACGCGGGTCAGTGCAGCGCAAGATTCGTTTGTAGGCGCGTTTTATTGCTTGCAAGAAAAGACGTAACTATCTACATAGTTACGTCTTATTTTCTGACTCGTGTAACGAACGCTCCTTTATTCCACAACGAGCGCCGCAATTGTTGTTATTGTGTCACGATCTAATTCAATAAAGCATTTTAATTAGTGACCTTACCCTCGTAGTTTAAAAAAGTTAAATCCAAACACCCTAATAATTTCCAGCACAGCTCTTCATCAGAATACAAAGCTAAAAATGTCACGATAAAAATGTCACTAAGAAACTAATTCAATAAAAGGTGAAATAGCGAAACCGACCCTGCTTTAACCCGCGCCCCACTGGGGTCTGCGTATAACACGCCCTACTGGGGGGGGGGGCTCTCCATAGCCCCCCTCCTAACTCCGAAACTACTGGACCGATCGTCAAAATTCAAACGGCGTCTGATAGCCCCCGAAAAACTGTCGAGCGAAACCTAATTTCATTGACCTCGAGGTCACCGATGACGTCACAGGTCAGGTCAAAATAAAAATTAATAGCATTTCGGCTTGTTCACATTTTGGGCTCTGGCCGCCCTCGGTTTACACACTCGTGAATAGATGCTCTAGATATCTTGAGGGTACCAAACTTGTACTTTGATTTTCAGGTCAGGGTCAGGTCATCACAGGTCACGGAAATATTATATCATGCGTCGGTCACGTGACACATGTTTTATGGTCCATTTAGGCCATAGATTTAGAATTTGATGTCGTCTGTGTCATTCGAGGTCATTTTGAGGCGAATTTAGCTTAGGTCAGGTCACTTTCAGGTCAAAAAAGGTCAAATTTTGAAGTTTAAATTTTTCAACAAAAAAGGTGTCTATTGGATGCAGTTTGAGCTCAGGAACACGATGGTGCTATTTATATTGGTGTACGATGTCAAATACGTACGGAAAAATTGATTTGAAAAATTAATAATTGTGAATTTTTTTGCAATAATGCGTATTACTTGGCCATTTTTCAAGATATTTAGCTAAAACTTGCTAGAGTTAGTCATAAGCATGCGTTCTGTCACATATATTCCGTTTTTTCGAAAAGTCAAAAACTTTTTGAAAAAATATAATAATATAAATTTTGAATATTATTATATAGGATTTTCGTAATTTTCAAAATTTTGAAAATCCGAGATAGCAGTTTGATAGCGCAGTCAATTTTGAGTCCTTCCATGCAAAGAAATTGGATCTAGCTTAAAAACTGAGCTCTTGGGAGCGATTGCCGTGGTTCAATGTTTTGCGTCGAAATCGGCCGAACATGACGTCACTCTGACGTCATTTCCGGCCGACCTATGGTAGCTACGAAGTTCAAATTTTGACACAAGGTGTCAAATTGATGCAGCCGAAGGTACTGAAAGGTTGGCGTCGATACGTCAAGTGGTTTGAAGTTATTGCAGAAAAACGGGAGGGGGGTCTATGAATAGCCCCCCTCCCCCAGTGGGGCGCGGGTTAAATAAAAAAGCCTGAACGTTAAAAACAAAATCAATCTAAGAAATCTCGGGAAGCACTACGCGCCTTGACGTAATAGGTCCATGGCTAGTCCGCACCATATGACCTTTATTAGATGTCGGCTTTCCCGCTGATTAAACGTCAGGATTACTTCTGTTTGTTACGATCTCTGACCTTAGGACCTAAGGTACATGAAGCAAGGAACGACTCCTAATCACTGTAGTGACCTTCTCATGGATATTGATTGCCTCATCCGAGCGGGTAAGGACTAGGAAACGGCGTAACTATTATTCATAGGCACTAGAGGTGAAAATGAACTCTTACGGCGGAATAGGTAATGAAAAGTTCCTGGTAGGTAAGTTTACGGGAAGCTGTTTAGGCATCGTCGGCTTTCAAATAGGGCCGGTAAGCTTCATATACCCGAAGCAGAGGCTTCCTAACCGTTATAATTATAGGACGCATTGGGCATACTTATAACGTAGCTGCGGGACAGCAGAAGCTGAATGCTGGAAGCCGGTAGCGTTATCGTTTTATGGTGACATCACTGTGAAGTGAAGTGAACCCATGGGTATGCCTACCCTCAGATGTTATATAGGGTGCCTCAGGTCATGGACAATGTCGATATATTTCACTTAGTTGATTAAAGTGCTCTGATACTGATGGCTGTTTAGTACCGATTAAACAACTTGGGCTCAATGCTCAATAGAGTGTGTGTACTGTGTAGGTATTGCGCAGACTGCAAGGCTCCCCGTGAACCCGGCTATATATAGATTGGACTCTGTTCCCTCCTGACCAGTGTCAACACATGACCGAAGGCGTTGGCCATTCGACCGGTGTTTATATCCGAGATCGGTCTGTAGGCGGCGTCACCGCGAACGGCGTGCGGCGCAATGTGACGTCGGTTCGGGCTTAGAAGGCACCACGTGTAACGGAGTATTATGTGTGATCTAGCCGCGCACTTCACGCTTGAAGTCGGTATAAAGCTATGCTTACACGAGTGCCTTTATTGATTTATTGGTTTAATTACTTGATTTGGACTTGCTCCACCCAAATGGCCGCTCGAACTGAAGTTCCACTTATCAAAAGCCTTAGCTGTACGTTTTAAACGTATCTTTGACAATCTTGTCATTGACTAGCAGAATCAAACGCATCTTTAGACTTTATTTATGTAATATAACTAGATAACTTTACAAACTTTTTCGGAAAAATTGTCCAAAATGTCATCGAAAACCATATTTCATCCCACCAAATCATAAAGGAAACGTATAAAACTCGTGGCCCTTTAAAAGGTCCGATGGACTTATTCAATGTAGGATATATCCAGGGGCGGATCCAGGAAAACTCCAAGGGGAGGGTCATGAATCGAAGTGGTGCCCCTACCTATACCCAAAATTAAAAACTCAACGGATTTCGTCCACTTCATTTTGGTGGTGCCCCCATTTTCAGTTTTTTTCTTTTTAATTTTTATTTTTAGTCAGTATCTTAACTTTTGCCACAACCACATTTACCAATTGTAAGCAAGTATATATGAATGTGCTATGTGTATATATGTTGTGGACGCTGAGTAGTGAGTACTTACCAGGAACGTTATCAGGTAAGCGAATCGTTGTCAGTCCGACGAACTTGACCCTGGCGTCTAAAGGGTCTGTCCTTGACACTTCAGGCTTGTCAGGGGCACCAAAGTCCTTCCAGGGACACCACAAACCTGTCAGGGGCACCTACGGCCTTGTAGGGGCGCCACAGGCCCGCCAGGAAGCAGGGGCACCACAGGTCTAGCAAGTATACACGACAGGCCTGTCAGGGGCACAACGGGCCTGTTGGGCCCATGAGCACCCCTAGGGGCAGGGGCACCACAGTCCTTCCAGGGGCACCGCAGGCCTGTGAGGGGCACCAGCGGCCTAGCAGGGGCACCAGTCAACACAGGCCTGCCAAGGGCACCACAGACCTGCCAGGGGCACCAGAGGCCTGCCAGGAGCACCACCGACCTTGCAGGGGTAACTTGGGCCTGTCAGGGGCACCACGGGCCTGTCGAGAGGCACTTCAGGCTTTTCAGGGGCACCATAGTCCTCGGCCGGGCGCAGGGGTAGCAGGGGCACCAGAGGCCTGCCAGGGGCACTACAGGCCTAGCAAGGGCACCACTGGTCTATCAGGGGCACCACGAGCCTGTCATAGCCAGGCATCTCAGGCTTGTCAAGGCCCAGGGGCACCACAGGTCTGTGAGGGGCACCAGCGACCTAGCAGGGGCACCAGTCAACACAGGTCTGCCAGGGGCGCCACAGACCTGCCAGGGGCACCACAGACCTGCCAGGGGCACCAGAGGTCTGCCAGGGGCACCACCGGCCTCGCAGGGGCACCTTGGGCCTGTCAGGGGCACCACGGGCCTGCCGAGGGGCACTTCAGACTTTTCAGGGGCACCAGTCCTCTTAGGGCGCAGGGGTACCAGCGGCCTAGCAAGGGCACCAGAGGCCTGCCAGGGGCACCACAGGCCTAACAAGGGCACCACGGGCCTGTCAGGGGCACCTCAGGGTTGTCAGGGCCCAGGGACACCACAGTCCTTCCAAGGGCACCGCAAGTCTGTCAGGGGCACCAGAGGCCTGCCAGGGGCACCAGAGGCCTGCCAGGGGCACCACAGGCCTGCCAGGGGCACCACAGGCCTAGCAAGGCACCACTGGCCTGTCATGGCCGGGCACCTCAGGCTTGTCAGGGCCCAGGGGCACCACAGTCCTTCCAGGGGCATTACAAGCCTGTCAGGGGCACCAGAGGCCTAGCAAGGGCACCACAGGCCTACCATGGACACCACAGGCCTGCCAGGGGCACCACCGGCCTTGCAGGGGCGCCTCAGGCCTGTCAGGGGCACCACGTCCCTGCGGGGGACACTTCAGGCTTGTCAGGGGCGTTACAGTCCTGTCAGGGCCCAGGGGCACCAGGCCCGTGGTGTCCCTGCTAGGCCTGTGGTGCCCCTGGTGGTCCTGTGGTGCCCCTGTCAGGACTGTGATACCCCTGATAGGCCGGTGGTGCCCCTGGCAGGTCTTTGGGCCCCCGGGCTTCAAGGGGGGGGGGGCCATGACCCATGTGACCCCCCCCTTGGATCCGCCCCTGGATATATCGACTTGTATGTTTGGTTTACAGCTCGTGTTATCCTTGAAGAAGTGACTGATGATCGATAGGTATGTTCTGTTGGTCGATCTATTGTCCTTCTTGACGTGCAGGGCGTAACAACAATTGCGACAAGTGAAGCTCTCAAAGGAACCGTTGGCAAATAAATGACCCGTCTTATCGCTTTTGGTACATTATAGGGCCGTCGCTGTAAGTTCGATGCAATGACTGATCCTTCAGCATGCAGAGCAGCCTTTCAAGAGGACTAAAAATAGTTCTGTGACCTAATTGTGAGTTCTCTCCTGCCGGCGGTGACCGAGTACGAGTCAAATAGCTGCAGCCAATGCTTACGCTCAAACCTAGCCTTGAGCGCTGCAGTCGCTATATAACCTAACAGATATATTTAGCGGAGCGGACAAAGTCCACCTAAACAGCGGTGGACGGCCGGCTGGCGATCAGATTGCACGGCGCACACGCACAGTCTCCTTCCTCTCTCTGACGGAGCGCTGCCGACGGAGAGGAGATCAGAGAGTATAGCGCCGGTCAGAACAGTGAGAGCACATCAGGGCCATGTGGGCCATCGCAGTACTGGTGTGTCTTGTCGCCTTCTACGTCTGCAAGAGGATTCGGAATCATTCTAGCAAGCTGCCGCCAGGTATGCATAATACATATAATACGCTTCCCACCCGTGATATCTTATCAACGTGTTGTTCACAAACGACGATTGTACAGTTGTATTCTCCTCTTAGCTCTCAATGCTGTTTAGTTTTCATTTCAATAAGGTGACGATATCTATTGAATGCATTTTTTCACTACATAAACCAGTTAGGCACATCTCTTCACAATACCTTTGTCTGACCTCTCGAACAATCACCGAATTGCAGTTATATAGATGGAGTTACAAGTAGGTTAAATACCCAAGCATTTATATGTATCGAGGTGTGCAACGTTACAAGCAAAACATACCTAAACCAGTAAAACGCCTTTTGGGCGAAGGACGAGCGAGCGTGATAGTGAGCCCTGCACGTGCGGAAGGGCAAGAGGGTACTTCCAACTGCTTCCAACGGGGCTTGTGCAAAGCACCCTTCTAACCGGTCGTTAGCGGTGTGCCAAATTTGAACGCAATCGGCCCAGCCGTTCCTGAGATCTGGAAGCGGCATTCTGCACGTGCGCACGTGCAAACGGGGTCCAAACTAACTTTTGCACGGCACCCTACTAACCGGTCCCCAACCGTGTACCAAATTTGAGCGCAATCGCCGCAGCCGTTCTCGAGATCTGGAAGCGCCCCCTGCACGTGCGCACGTGCAGTAGCACCCTAACCGCAACACATGGGAATGCATTGCCTGGTGGGTGCCTACCTGTATGCCAATTCAGCGAAATCGCTCGAGTAATTACCGAGTTATTGAAATGGGAACAAATTTGGCACCTCTTCTTTTTGTATTTTGCACGTGCAGCAGGGGTCACTCACATAGATCAAGAGTATCCGACCTTTGGTAGAAGGGATGCAGCTACCCTATAAAAATTACCGCAAGACAATCGCCCAAGCGGCTGCTGAGATATGAGCCTCTCAAAATCACTACTTTTGCAAAACAGCATGAACACCCTTGACTTTTCACGTGGCACGTGCCACGACGGTCACTGAGATGTGTCAAAAGTAGTCAATAACGGGGTAGAAGGGATGGGGCTACCCAGCAAGAAAGACCGCAGGCCAATCGGTCCAGCGGTTGCTGAGATATAAGCCTTTCAAAAGCGTTACAGGCCGGGCCAGGCCGGGCCGGGCCGCTCATACTGAGATTTTTCCGTTATATTGAAAAGACTTCGCTTTGCTCGCTGCGCTCGCTCGCTCGTAACTAGAGGTGGCAAAGTGTGGACCCGAGGACCTGGTCAAAAGACCCAGTGTGGACCCATCTGGGTCTAGACCGGTTCCTGGAAATTTTCTGATGGGTCCAACCGGGTACTACCATAAACTATAGACATCTTGCACACTACACATTATTGAAAAATATGAAGTGAATGGAGTGAATGTTTCTTTACACACAGTAGCTCATGAGTATTCCCAGTGGGAAATAGGCTGTTCTACATTATGCAACTAATGATACCTACAAGTAGTTTGCATTAATTGACTTGTGAGGAACGGGTCCAACTGGTTCCGATTCCAACTAAGACCGGGTCCGACTGGTTCCAGAAATGTCCAGCCGGGTCTGGTTCGAGTCTGGTTCCCAAAATTTTCATCTTTTGCCACCTCTACTCGTAACAATTACCTATCACACATCCTGTTGTCTTTTTTTATTTATTCGGCGGCCAGCGCAAGTACAAGACTGGTTTAGCGGTTCGCTGCTGAACGTTGCCATTGGTAGGCATGAGGCCGCATGACACAACATTTAGCGACATGGTAAGCTGATACGATAGCTCGACAAAGCACTTTCCTCATGATGCAATTCGAAGTCAGCCTGCTGTAGACAGTCTGATTGTTGTCTGGGAGTGTATTTACCAGAAGGCGTTTCAGTGCCTTGCGGCAATAGGACTTCCCAGAAGTCCCCGGCACGGAGTCTCCCCTGGCCCCATGTTGATCCGGACTGCCGCTGCCGCAGGGCCGTTCAACATCCCGCTGCTGGGCAGCTGGGAGTTCATCAAGCTGTACCTCTGTGACGGCGATATGGCGCGCATGTACGAGCGGCTCGGCGCCCGCTACGGACCGGTCGTGTTTCTGCGCGTGGCCATGGACACGCCGGTGGTGGCCATCCGCACCAACGAGACCATCAAGGCAAGTCGCGAAGTGCCACGCACGCGTGACTCCAAGGAAAAGTGACGATATATCATATGAGTATTTAGCACGTCCTTAGTAAATGTAGGTTTGTGATTGATTGGGCATGTTTTTGCGATAAAACGATAAATGAATATGTTTAGCGGTACAAGTTTCCCGGGCACCACGTGCGAACGACTCCAATGGTTTACCTATCAATAAACGTAAGGCAGTTGCGATAGGAGGAAAGATGAGACGAGATCAAGTGCACTAAGTCGACTTCATTTCCGGTGACTTTTTCTCCCATTTCCTCCTTTTTACCAGGAGGCGTCCAAGGACCTGCAGCTGGGTGCCATCGGCGGGTCGTATCTGTACCGTCAGATGAGCGCGTGGCACAACCTGGGGCTCAGCTTCGCCGAGGGCAAGAACTGGCACGACAACCGGCGCTTCACCATCAACACGCTGGGGAAGCTCGGCTTCACCAGGCGGAAGATCGAGCCGCTGGTCGCGTACGAGTGCGCGATGACGGCGCAGAAGCTGACTGAAGCGGCCGGCCAGCCGGTGGACTCGCACCAGATCCTGCCGGCGGCGGCGCTGAACAGCATACTGCAGCTCCTTATGAGCAGGAGGTTCGAGCTCGACGACCACCAGGTGCTGAGGATGCGGAGTGACAGCGTCACTCTGTTCAGCATCATGGCCAAGATTCAGACGTACCTGGACTTCGCGCCATGGCTGAACAAACTCGCCGGCAAAGACTCAGTCAGCAAGGAACTCGATCGAGTCATGGACACCTTCTACGAGTTTGTTGACCAGGTCATCGCTGAACACGAGGAAACCTTCAATGAAGACGAGGAGCCTCGTGACCTGTTGGACGCCTACCTCGCCGCTCGGAGTCAGGGCCGCACGGACCAGGACCTCTCGAGGGCCAACCTGCGGGTGCTGATGAAGGACCTGATCGTGGGCGGCCTGGAAGGGCCGTACACGACGCTCTCGTGGCTGCTGCTGCTGCTCGCCGAGCACCGGGACGTGCAGCAGCGCGTGCAGGACGAGCTGGACGCCGTCGTGGGCGCCGACCGGACGCCCACCATCGAGGACCAGCACGCTTGTCCGCTCACCCTGGCCGCCATCGACGAGACACTCCGCTACGCGACGCTGACTCCGTTCAACCGGCACTTCGCGGCGGCCGGCGGCGCCACCCTGCAGGGCTACCACATCCCCGCCGGCAGCGTCATCCTGGTGGACATCAACTCGCTGCACCACGACCCGGACGTCTGGGGCGACCCGGACGTGTTCCGGCCGGACCGCTTCCTCGGGGAGGAGGGCGCCCGGCTGCGCCACCGGGTGCGTGGCTTCGGCCTGAGCCCGCGCTCCTGTCCGGCGGAGCCCTACAGTCGCACCATGCTGTTCCTGTTCGCGGCGGGGCTGCTGCAGAGGATGACGCTGCGCCTGCCGGACGGCCAGCGGATGACCGCCGGCCAGGGCTACTCGGTCACCCTGCGGCCCGGCCAGACCATGGTGATCGGCCAGCCGCGCTGACGCCCGAGCGGCAGCGACGACTGGGAGGGGACGAGTGGGTATGTCGGAGACTCCCGCAGTTCGGGCCAGTTGTCAGTAAATGTATGTACACTGTACAGGTACTGTTGCCAGCAATAGGTCATCTTGAAGCATGAATAGGTATATTGGGTGCCGTCGCTTGTAGTTAATATGCTGAATACACACTTACCTGCTTCGACAGTAACTTTAATGCGTTTCTTATCAAAAGGGCGTAGAAGCCAGTGCCAGTAAAATATTTGCACAATCACTTCCAACAGTTATATAAAACACCAAAGCGACTCGAACCCTGGTCACCTACTCGATGATCAGGCCGATGGGGATGTCCAAGATCAGAGATCCCACGGTCCACGGTCATATGAGAGATCCGAGGCAGGTCGGTGAGCACATTGCTGATTGCACACTGCACAGTCAGGGCGTATTTGGAATTTCCGACCTCGACGAGCGTCTGTGGTAGAAAAACACCACTTTGGTAGGGGAAACTACTGCTGTCTGCTACAATTTGCACTGCATGTCAAGCTATTGTAGCGACATCTATGCATATACATTTCCGAAATCCGACCTCGACGAAATCTCGCGGCGCTTCGCGCCGACCCGCGCCGCCCATTCATACTGCAGACCAAAAGAGATTGAGTTCAGAGTTGTGACAAATATACCTAAAGCAACCACCACGTATGATGTATACATTAACAGTTAACTATCAGATTGGCGGCATGTGTCAACAATTATACCCTGATAGAAGACCGGAGGCTCTAGTTAACCGTTTAAAAATGAATACTTAACACGCGTACCGCGTAGGAACTCAGCACAGTATCGTTGAACAGATAGTGCATCGGCCTGAAAAAGTACGGTAACGATACCTAATTTTGGGTTTTTAGTCGGCCGATCCGTCCCCCCCCCCTGTCGAAAATCTGTGGCGACGCCCCTGGTACGTAGGACAAAAGTACGTATCGCAAATGTTCGTACAGTATAAAGTACGCGTGGACAAAACTACGTCAAGGACAAAAGTACGTATCGAAGAAGTACGTAGGTACATTATTAAGTACGCATGGACAAAAGTACGTCAAGGACAAAAGCACGCATCGTAAAAGTGTGTACAGCATAAAGTACGTATGGACAAGAGTACGTCAAGGGCAAAAGTACGTATCGCAGATGTACGTCGAGCATAAAGTACGTATGGCATAAGTACGTCAAGGACAGAAGTACGTATCGCAGAGGTAGGTACGTAGGGGAAGGTGGGGTAAGACGGACCAGCTAAGGTTTGAGGCCGCATATCTTGCTACACTGCTGTCGTAATTCATATTATTTATAGTCTTCGGAATGCTCAATCCTTCCTCTGTTGATATGTGTAAAGACTAAATTTCAAATTAAAGACATCTAGGTGGTGGATGCTCTTAAAGAGGGACATGTCAAAAACTCAGACAAGAAAAAACGTGGGGTAAGACGGACCACCCAGCAGTGCCCGCAATCCGATCATGTGTGTTACACTTCTGCTCTGTACTCTTGTAAGAAAAAGTAACCAGAATGGTAAAATAACAAAATGAGCCTTTATTCTTTACTCATGTGTGATGGAAGTGCAGCTAAAAGCCAGGAACATGTGTGTTGATTGTCGTTTGGCATGAATGCATGCTAACTGAGCACTTGCATGCATGGCTCACATGCAACAAAGACTCCTTCCTGAAAAATTAGCTTACTTAAACTTGTGTCAATGTTTTGGAAAAGAACTTTCCATATGCAGGGTACAATGGACCACCACAGGGTAAGATGGACCACAGTGGTCCGTCTCAGGGGTGTAACTTTTGCTTTTGAAATGGGGGTGCACTTGGTGATGGGGGCGACCTTCAATGAGGATAGGGGCGCTTCCAAGGAGCATAGATAGTGCATATCTCTCAACAGGTGCGCACACAGGATTTTTGAACGGGGAAGGTACGTCCTGTAAATTGGGCCCCCCATGCCGAAGGACCCCATGCCCCAGCCGAAAAAGTTCCCCAACGCGATTATACCTATCTCGGTTGACTTGAAACTTAACTTTTGTTGAAACATCATAAAACAATTTATACTACAAAGACACAATTTTCAGGCGGCATGCCTACTTTCCTAGTACCAGTCGTAACAGATATTCAGGAAGCCCGTACCGGAGCACGTACGGCGGCCCCGATCACTCACCTTTCGCTGTCCCGGCGGCGAGCGAGGGACCCACGGCAATCGCGCACCTCGTCGGCAAAGCAGCACTGTCGCAACGAAGAAGCCCTCAAAGGGCCCAAAGATCCGACGGCCCTTTGAGGCCTTCTGAGCAGTGTCCCAAAATTGAGTTTTGTCTTGGGTGTCAGAGGGGAAAATTACCCACCAAAAAGAGGGGAGAGAGTGGAAAACTGCTGATTTGATTAGATCCAAAAGGAGTGAGAAATGACAAAAACATGCATTTTATTCTAGGGTGTAGAATGTTTGATGCTAACTGGGCATCCACACAACTGTCTTTCTATAGGTAAAAAATCTAGGTTTTCTTGGTTGGGACTCGGGAGTGAAAAATTGTACTTCAAAAATGGTGGTGAGAGTGGAAAATGAATTTCATTTGGATGTCGTTTCCCACCCAAATCGACAAATTTTGGGACATTGCTTCTGAGGGCCGTTTGACTTCAGCTGAGGGCACTTTGGACCTTGCTGATGGCCCTTTGGGCTTTGAGGCCTTCTGAGGGCCATTTGACGCCAGCTGAGGGTCATTTGATGTCAGCTGAAGGCCCTCTGACACCTGCTGGGGGCCATCTGACACCAACTAAGGGCCCTTTGAGGCCTTCGGAGGGCCGTTTACGTCAGTTGGGGCCCTTTGAGGCCTGCTGAGGGCCCTTCGACGCCATATGAGGACCCTTTGAGGCCTTTTAAGGACCCTTTGACACCAGCCGAGGGCCCTTTGAGGCCCTCTGAGCGCCGTTTGACACCAGTTGAGGACCGTTCGACATTATCTGAGAGCCCTCTGACACAAGCTGGGGGCCCTCTGACGCCAGCTAAGGGCCCTTTGACGCCTTCGGAGGCGTTTAACGCCGGCGCAGGGCCCATTGGCGCCTTTTGTTCATTTAAATTAACCCAAGACCCACCGGCGCACCGATAAACGGATGTCGATGCTCCTGCTTGTAGGTACAAGAACTTTTGAAATAAAATGAATATTTTTTTTTGCATGTACGATTTTAATTGTATGAACACTAAACACCCCAATGTTAGAGTCCAATGGTACAAAGTTGGGTATTACGAAATTACATTAAATTCGTTGGCACCAATATCAATCAATCAATTGCATTTATAACGAAATTGCATTTTACTTTTTTATTCCAAACTTTTATAGAATCGGGGTGCCCTTTTATGCTCGGCGACTGGCGACACCCACTTTTGCTAGAATCACCTTTTTATTGGGCGCCTTTCTTCTGCTGGGGTCGCCTCTCTCTTGCTGAGGTCACCCCTCTTCTGCTCGGCGGGACTTACTTCTGATGGACGTTCCTCCTCTGATGGAGTCTCACTTTTCT